ATTCCTGTAATTCCACTTGTGAAAACACTTTGCTCCGGATGTCAAACCTTCTTTGTTCCATGAATTGTTCTTCAGTTATGTCACTATTTCGGTATTTCCTTTTCCACATTTCTATCATTCTTTTTTTAAAACCATGGGCTGTCGCATTTGCCTCATAAAAATACTTAATAACGACCAATCTGGTATCCATTTCCTCTCATCATAATTTTTTATTTCCTCTCATCATAATTGATGGTTGGTGGACACAGCTGGTCTGATTTCTCGGCTGAGATCTGTCTGGCTTGGGAGATGCTTCAGGTAGCAACACTACCTTCAGGTACCTCTCAACAGCACACAAGCTTCTCTGCCTCAACAAAGCTTGTGCCCATGGAGGGGTTGTTGTTGCTGTTGCTGTTATCGTCATCATCACCATCATCACGCTGTAGCTGCAATGGTGAAAGTGGTGACCACCCACACTTTATCCTGCCAGAGAAGAAGACAAAGATGACATGACTGCAGAGACACAACAGAACAGCCAAGATTCACAGAGTTAAAGCCCAAGGACTTTCTGAGTACCTGCAACTATAATGTTGCCCACCATTTCTCTCTGGCTTCTATGTTTCCTTTGAACGTATCTGTAATCCATACAATAGCTAGGACAGGCAATACAAGGAGGTCCAGTAGCCCAATATCAGGCAATATAAAACTTCAAAGAAAGGTTTGCATGATTTGTAGGAATTTTCTCATCTGCAGGTCTTACCTTTCAACAAAACCTGTACAGTAGACCCTCCTGAAGGTTCTCGCCATCTCAGGTCACACAAAGAAATACAACTGATCCACAAGAAAAATCCCAGATCAGTGTTGCGTAAGAACCTTTACTACGTTACTTAGATTACTCCATTCTCTTCATCAGATTGAGCATTATAAAGTCTGAGTCTGGAGTGGAGGAGGATGAAATGTTCCAATGTCACAGTGATCCTGTACACCTTGCATAGTGTACAGTTTTTATTAGTGGTCTATAAAAGCATCACCTGTTGTCTATTCTTGCATTTGTATTTTGTAATGGCCAGACAGCTTCCCCCTTTTATTTCAATGAGCTACCTCATGCGAAAGACTGGACTGGAGGAATCGCAAGCCAAAATTAAGATTGCCGGAAGAAATATCAACAACCTCAGATATGCAGATGATACCACTCTGGTGGCAGAAAGTGAGGAGGAATTAAAGAACCTCTTAGTGAGGGTGAAAAAGGAGTGCAAAAAATGATATGAAGGTCAACATAAAAAAAACCTAAGATCATGGCCACCGGGCCCATCACCTCCTGGACAACAAAAGGGGAAGATATGGAGGCAGTGACAGATTTTACTTTCTTGGGCTCCATGATCACTGCAGATGGTGATAGCAGACATGAAATTAAAAGACAGCTGCTTCTTGGATGACAAACCTAGACAGCATCATAAAAAAGCAGAGACATCACCTTGCCGACAAAGGTCCGCATAGTCAAAGCTATGTTTTTTTCCTGTAGTGATGTATGGAAGTGAGAGCTGGACCATAAAGAAGCCTGACTGCTGAAGAATTGATGCTTTTGAATTGTGGTGCTGGAGGAGACTCTTGATAGTCCCCTGGACTGCAAGGAGATCAAACGTATCCAATCTGAAGGAAGTCAACCCTGAGTGCTCACTGGAAGGACAGATCCTGAAGCCGAGGCTCCAATCCTTTGGCCATCTCATGAGAAGACTCCCTGGAAAAGACCCTGATGTTGGGATAGTGTGAAGGCAAGAGGAGAAGGGGACAGCAGAGGATGTGATGATTGGACAGTGTCATCAAAGCTACCAACATAAATTTCATCAACCTCCGGGTGGCAGTGGAAGACAGGAGGGCCTGGCATGCCATGGGGTCACGAAGAGTCAGGCACAACTTAACGACTAAACAATGACAAAACCAGTTGCTCACTCCCCATTCATTTTTAAAGATGTTTTAGAGATGTGTGCTTTGTGCCAAAGGAAGTGAGGTATTTAAGGAGTGGTTTTACCAGTTCCACCTCCTTTCTCCATGAGTTTCCATGCAGAGCTGGAGAATTGAACCCTGGTCTCCTGAGTCCTAAGCCATTACTGTATCCACTACACTATACTCGGGTGTGGATACAAGAAACATATTATCCAACTTTGGCTTCGGATTTTGCTCCTCAAGGAGTATGTTTGTACAAGAAACATATCCAACTTTGGTTTCGGATTTTGCTCCTCAAGGAGTATGTTTGAGTCCCTAATATCTAAAATACTGGCATTCTCAACATCATCCAAATCTAAAACAAGAGCCTGTTTTTTCCCTCATGGGACAGGCAGCACTTAATGAATTGGCTGAATGCTTAGAGCTGGCTGTTCCTTTTTAACTTGATGGGAGTCCAATATATTAGAGAGAGGAGGAAAAAGAAAATGGAGACCAAATGAAATCTTCAAGCATCCGCAGCAACTTCTCGAGTTTAAGTGCGTGAGCAACTTCCTTTTTTAAAAAAATACACGGGTCAGTTGCAAATTGCAGAGCCACTTCTCAATCTGTGTCTTCAAAGATGGCTTAGATTTACCTTCCTCTCTGTCTTTAATCTTCGGCACACACAGAGAGAAGCATTTTCTCTCCTCTTAGGTCTTCTGCTTCGTATCTTTGCTTTAATTTTTTTTTTCAAAAACGGCATCTTCAAAGATCCTCCTCACGCTTCTCCTGGGAAACTCGGGGTGTTGGAGAACCTTCTGGAAAATGAGTCTCTTAAATGCCAGAAGCTTGCTTTGCTCTCAGATGCTGCAGGGAACCAGGCCGCCCCCCCTTCCAGTTCAGCATCTGCTGTTGGGTACACAGCATGGGCCCAGAAGACAATAAAAAATACCCACTTTTATGGTAACCATTTAGTGAAATCCTGTCTATATTTCACACAGCTTGGAGGTAATAACAAATAATAAGTTACTTCTAATTGGGGACAGCTCCTGGTCAAAGCAGGGGCGCCCCTTGCCTCCAACTTTTGGAGGTAGACATCAACGTACCCCCATCTGGTCAAAAGCTGCCTAGACCTGTAAATCAAGTCCTTTCACAAATAGACAAGATGTAATTATATTAAATTGCTATTGTGGATTTAGAAAAGAATCCTTTCACTCCTTTTGAAGGCTGCCAGGGAATTTGTCATTACTGATGGACAAGTGGTCTCACTTACTGCTGAAGAAGGAATATTGTATGGTTCATGGGTTGGCTCCTGTTGTTTCCTGTGGGGCTATTATGTCCTCTATTTTGGAATGCTAAGGTGACAAGGTGAATTGAAGTGTGCTTTGTTTCATAGGCCAGTGGCTTGAGCGTTCAGTTACTGCGGATTTCACATAAGAAAAAGTAACTATTTCTGTTATATTGTAAAGTAACTGTCATAGTATAAAACTAACTGTAATGATAACGAACTCCTTGAGGCCTTGAAACTTTAACTGTAACTAGTTACTTTTAAAAAGTAAGTTAGGTCACTGAGATAACAGCCAGATGGGCTAACGACTCATATGGGACATTTAGCACTTCCTGTTCAGTATAGTAGTTAAACGAACTTGTGCAGGAAGGAAATAAAGAATCTTCAGTGTGCAATGAGTAATAAAAATAAAACATATATATAAACAAAAGTCTTGTAGCACCTCAGACACTAATAGATTTTCTTCAGTGTGAGCTTCCATGAATTATAAACTACTTTCTCAGATGTGTGTCGCATAACAGGTATGGAATAACAATAGGTGTGGACTGGGGTTTCTCATTTTAACATTCATCCTCCATCTTTGTGGACTGTCGTGTGAAAGTGATTTGATTCTTAATTCAGTCAGGGAACGGCATGGCTTAGTAACACACTGGATGGTCTCAGTTTCATTCTTTCTTCGAAGCACTACAAAGCTGTGAAGCAAGGCAACCAATACTGAACTACAGGGATATATGATCTGATGCAGTATATGGCAGATTTACAGTTCCTGCATAAACATAGTATATATTCAAGTACATTACTGTTATACCTTAACAGTACACTGGGGTAAGGTGGTTGCTTATGCACCATCAAAATGCATCATCAAATGAAGACAGCACCAGGTAGCATCGCAATTGTGTAATACACTAATCTGTATGAATAAATGCACATTTAGAAACAAGTATTGTAATTTAAATAGGAACTTAACATTTGTCACTGTGGGGACTGGGGAGGGAAAGACTTGGTTATGTGTAGTTACTCAGCCTCACTGAGTACTGAGTATGAAAATTGTTTCTGTATCTTTCGGTCACACTGAGATTTTGAACACAGCACTCTTCTCTCTTCTAGTAGGGCACATGGTCCCCCAGACCTAGGTTCTAAAGCAAAAGAGTCAATCTGGAAATAAGTTTTGGTCACTCATGCAAAACAAAAATGCTCTATTGCTGCCTTGGAAGCTGAACAAGTTTTATTTGCAATTGCATGATTCCTTCATTAAGACCAACGACAAATTTGCAAAATATGCCAGCAGTCACGTTCTCCAGAACTCTTCATCAGGCTAAGTGGTAAAGAATTCAGCAAGAGGTCTTCCCAGACATAAAATGTACAGTAGTACCTTGGTTTATGAATTTATTGCGTCCTACAAGACGTTACATAATGCGAAAAATTCGTAAACCAAAACACAGTTACCTATAGCATGGGTGCGGCACTATAAACCTCCAGGTACACTGCATCCTGGGGAAACTTCCTTCATTCTGCAGGGAAAAAAACGTAACCTGAGGCATTATTTTCTATGAATTTCTGTTCGTAAACTGAAAATTATGCTAACCGAGGTGTTCGTAAACTAAGGTACTACTGTATATGCAGTATACATCTTTATGGACCGCAGCCACTTTATCGGATGCAAAAGCAAAAAGCATTGCATACAGTTTGAAAGTTATACAGTCAGAGTTATGGAACAATGAATGCTTTTGTTTTTTTTTTCACCCCTCTGCTCTGCATGATTTTATTTTATTTTATTGAGTAAAATTTGTGCTTTTGCTCTTTCACTCAGATCTGAAAGGTGTGGTTTCCGCCAAGAATGATATCCGCGTCGAGATTGTTCACAAGGAGTCTGCCTCGGGCAGAGAAAACGAGGAACACCCGACAATCAAACAGTTGATGGTGAGGATTTATTCTCTCTTGCTTTAATCTGTTGCTCTGCCTCACCTTTGACAGTAATGAGCATGGGTGCATGCGGTTCAGTGCGCTAAAGTCTGCTTAGGGCAAAGCCTGCTCTCACCAAATCTCACACGTTGCTCAGAGCCACTAAAGTTGTGCCCCCCCCTATATTTAAATATATATATAAACCTCCCTTGCTAATGAAGACAAAAAGCTACACGAAGGTTGTTTCTGCGGCTCAGCAAGTTGCCCGTAGGAACTGATGAAAAGACAGGATTGCCAGCCCTTGATCAGGAAATTGACGTGGCTGCAAATGAGCATAAAAGAAGCTGAGCAACATATTATTATAATAATAATCTAATTAGGCCCTAATCACTAAGCCAGACTGAAAAGGCCTTTGTGATGTATAGTTGCAGCAGAGACATGCATCCTACACAAACCCATACCCATCCATTCAAGCACACACATAACACTTTTCACAGGGAAAGGTCATTAGCCTCATTAGTGTCAAACTGTCAAAGCTCGTCAAGTGGCGTTTGAGTGACCCAAGGCCACAGTCACCTCAGACTCTCTCTGTCTTGAGACAGGCCGAGATGTTTCTGTGCCAGAGGCTGAAAATCTTGAAGACAGACTCCGAAGTGGAGAAATATCATGATAGAAAAATTGGCCTGTTTTGTGACTGTATCCTGGAGCCATTCCATTATCTGCTATCATCAGTGGGCGCATCATCCTGCCTCACAGTGGAGCAGCTCTGAGGTCTTTTTATAGGTCAAAGGAGGCTTGGATTGGTGCTTGAGGGTCAGTTGACTTGAGAACTTGGGCAATGTGGTATGGTTCCAGAAAATCTCACTGCTGAAGGACATGTCCTTCAGAATCCTACTCAGATACACCCCAGAAAGAGGAACTTGTGAATCCATCTGTGGAATAGCTGTAGGTGGACAGGCACTAGAGAAGGGGAGAAGTTTTCTTGAAGTTGGGGAAAGGTCTGAGCCTCTTTCCTCATCTGCACCATTGTTAATAGATGATATGGCAGAGAACAATTTCACCAGCTCCCTTGCTGCTGTTGTGTTCAGAATCCCAAATGCCAGCGCTGCTCCCTTTTTTTTTTTGCCTGCCAGTGTCACGTTATAAATGACTAATACAAGCAAAACAAATGGAAAGGATGCTGAACCGTAAAAATAAAGCCATCCAGCCATAAAAGAAGAAAACAGAAGGAGAAGCCAGGAGAAGGGGAAGTGGATGGGTTTCAAGCATGTTTTAACTGTGTTTCTACACACACAAACACACACACACACACGCACACACACAACCGTCCCCCACTTTGGATTCTGAGATGCCTTTTGTCAGCATTCAGTTCGTTTTTTTGCTGGGAAGGATTCTTTGTGAAGGATCAATGGCGCTCCCATTTGGAGAGGGACATTTTGCCGGCTGGGCAGAATCAATTTCAGATGGTACATGTCTACAGAGTGGAGCCCTTGAAATCAGTTTGAAAGGGCGCGGAGCGGCAGAAGCTTCGGGTTGCTTGTTATTCCGCTGGTGTTTTCCTATGTTCTGAATTGCTGTTTTGTTTTATTTCAAAATGTCTCAATCCGAGAGAGAGCCACGAATTCTGAGAGAGGTTCGCTTGGTTTTCTTTTGCTCTGCTCTCAAAAGGAACATGGTAGCAGAGGTAGACTGATTCCCCCAGCGTTGGTTTCACCCTTAGTCATGATTAGACTGGGCCTTAAAATAAATGGGACAAATAAATCATAGCTAAATCTCATTGATATTGTGGGTCTGTTGCTGTTGTTGTTGCTGTTGTTGCTGTAAATCATGGCTAAATCCCATTGATATCATGGGTCTGTTGTTGCTGTTGCTGTTGTTGTATGGCCAACATTCTCCTGCCACCTGAGGCAAACACTCTCAGAAGTGCCAGATAGCTCAGTGGTTTAGGCATCTGGTTCTGGGACTTCGATTTTCCGCTGTACTTCCTTGACAGGGGCTGGATTCGATGATCGACAGGGCCCCTTCCAGCTCTGCAGTTCTAAGATGGTGATGATTAAACATTCCATTAAAACAAATTGAAAATAGTTTTAATTCATTTTATTATCATTAGGCTCCATGTTGAATAGACCTGGCCCAGATCTGTCCAACTCTGGTTCCATAGAAAGTGTTGTGGGAGAGAATTCCACAACTCTGGAGCCAAAAGGGAAAATGCCCGAAGCTTGGATTTTGCCACCTTAGACCAAGGGAATCGAGAAAATCTGGAATCTGCAGCCAGAGTCATCTTAAGAGGAATGTGCCATGCCACCATCCTAAATAATTAGGACAAGGGAAAATGTAGGTCTTTAAGCCTTGAGGCAAGGCTTTCAAAATATGCCCTTGACCTGATAGGCAGCCAATGCACTGCCTTATTATGATGGGAAATTTAGAAGTAATGTGGTCAGTTTAAAACCACCCCTACTGCACTATTCTGCATGAGGGTGATAGGACTGAGTGAAGAAGAAAGAAGATCCACCAAAAGGCTGTTTTAGTCCAAGCATAACTAAGCATGGTTCCCGTTCCCAGATTATACATATCACACAGGCATTTTGCAAGGGGAAATCTTGACTGTTGTCATCCCATGTTGTATTGGGACAGGAAGGTGGTGGAGTGAAGATGCACTGCTTTGTTCCAGGGATGTTGGCAAGTCTTTGCATCCAAGTCCCAAGTCCGAGTCTGAGTCTTTGGTCCCAAGTCTGAGTCCCTGATAAAAACAAGCTTTCCCCCCTCCCAGGAAAAAAAGGGAGGGAGGGTCAATTCCGAGTCACAAGCTGGGTCCGAGCCATTTTTTAAAAAATGAATCAAGTTATTGGTGCAGGTTATGTCCAACTTCACATTGAGTCCCATGTGAGTCTAAGCCATTTTTTAAAAAAATATGAATCAAGTTATTGGTGCAAGTTATGTCCAACTTCACATTGAGTCCCATGACTTGACTTCCCATCCCTGCTTTATTCCTCTGTTCTTCTTGCAACAGCCATTATTTCTGTTCCCCAGAATAAAGGAGCATACAAACATTTTCAAGGAGGACAAGGCACCCACACAAACATAAAAGATTCCCCTGTTATCAGAGCTTAGGAGATGGAATTTTACATATGCACTGTGGCCCAAGACAGCAATTTCTCAAAACTCCACCCATTGCAAAACAGCCTCAATTTTGGCTCAGCCTTTACTCTGCCACATGCTTCATAAAACAATGAGTCCATAATTTGCCCCCGTCTGATGCTCTGAACAGGCTCTGTCTCTTGGAGAGGCTGCCCTCCGTAAAGAAGAATCTCGTTGCTAATGAAGATTTTCTCTTCTGTCATTAAAGCCCTTTTACCCCTTCCCCTTCCTATGATTCTCAGTGCTCAGCCTACGCACCGGCCTCTAGCAATAAAACATCCAGGCCATGCATGCTTGATAAGCTCCTAATAAGAAACTCCAGATTTGCCAATAAGCCGACAGATCAAGTTAAAGAAGCTGGGTTCATTAACAAACGGCAGTAATGAATCCTTGGCAGTGGTTCATATTGCACTGATGGCAGGAAGGTAGCAAAACTAACATCCACCGCCGAGAAAGAGTGAAAGCATCTGGGAATGCGGGAAGGGGAGAAGGGAATGGCTCTCCTCACTCCAAAACAGGGTTGCACACATAAAACTCCTGCTTGGAGGTCTGTCATTTCCACCTGTCAGCCACCTGTCAGTGTCAGCCTCTTCAGATGAGGCAAAAAAGCTTTTCCATCTCCAGCACCATCATTTCCATATTGGGTTGGCAGGCCCTGTTTGCAGGATCATGTATGTCTGTTTCTGTGTGCATACTTTGGAGCAATCTGTGCTAGAAATAGACAGCTACCATATTTTTCCATGTATAAAAAGCGTGCGGCTTATATACTGCCCCATAGTGCTTCAAGCACTCTCTGGGCAGTTTACAGGTTAGTTATGCAGGCTACACATTGCCCCTCTCTGAAGCTCTGAGTGCTGACTCCAGTCCTCTGAAGATGCCGGCCACAGAGACTGGCGAAACGTTAGGAAGAAAAACCTTAAGAACACGACCAAACAGCCCGGAAAACCCACAAGAACCATTGGATCCCGGCCGTGAAAACCTTCGAGAATACTTTGAATTTTGCTTGGAACTAGATTGGCAGTCAACGGGGCTGCTGTAAGAGGGAGGTTATGTGATCCTTGTAAACAGCCTCAGTCAGCAATCTGGCTGCTGGGTTTTGAAACCACTGAAGTTTCCTGACACTTTCCATGGGCAGCCCCATGTAGACAATATTACAGTAACCCAGCTGGGATGTAACTAGGTATATGTCACTGTGGACAGCTTAGACCTCTCCCTGAATGAGCGCAGCTGGCATACTGTTCACCTGTCTTATCAGAGGAAGTGTAACTTGGTCCAATACAGACTGGGGCCCGATTCCTTGATCTGCCTTTCAACTGACCAGGAGCACCTATGTCTTGTCTGGATTAAGTCTCAATTTATTCACCCTTATCCAGTCCATTACTGATATCAGACACTGATCTATTACTGCAATAGCTTCCTTGGATTTTGATGGGAATGAGAGATTGAGTTGATTGTTGTTGTTGTTTAATCGTTTAGTTGTGTCCGACTCTTCGTGACCCCATGGACCAGAGCACACCAGGCCCTCCTGTCTTCCACTGCCTCCTGGAGTTTGGTCAAAGTCATGTTGGTCGCTTCGATGACACTGTCCAACCATCTTGTCCTCTGATGTCCCCTTCTCCTTTGTCCTTACACTTTTCCAACATCAGGGTATTTTCCAGGGTCTTCTCTCCTCATGAAATGGCCAAAGTATTGGAGCCTCAGCTTCAGGATCTGTCCTTCCAGTGAGCACTCAGGGTTGATTTCCTTTAGAATGGATAGAATGGATTGAGTTGATACATTACAAATAATCTGGTACTGGAGCTGAAATCACTTTAGTGTCACAGAGGCATGCTTCAAGTAGAGCTTCTGTCTGAGAAAGCAGCTTTGAAAATTGATCCTCT